CCCTTATCTGCCTAATTGACAATCTCAGCCAACCCAATGCTTTCCTATGGGAAAGCATTGTAATTGGCTCAGATCCTAACTTCTGATGATGTTAGCCAAACAGGGAGATCAGGGGCAGAGCCAGCAACAGCAGACTGGAATAAAAGTTATATTTTACTATATTTAGAGAAGCAAGGGGGAGCCAGGGGGATAGATGGTGTTTTTAAAACTATAGGGTCAGGAATACATTTTGGTGTTCCTGACACTATAGTGTTCCTTTAACTCAAGTCTTATGAGGGGAGATGGGGAAGACTGTTGTAGCAATGGTATGGTTTATGTTATGGTTTTTTAAAGGTTGGATACCAGGGGAAAATGTGACAGGACTGATAAGGATGTAACTGAAAATTGGTGGTAGAGTTGTATTACAACCAGGCATACCTGAAAGTCGTCACTTTTTTAATGCAGCTATGCAGAAGTCCTTCAAACTAATGAGAATTAGAATCTTTTTGCAGAAATGTATGTCACAGAATTATCTGATTATATGTGTGAGATTGAATGACATATTGCTATTTTGCTAAATGTGCTTCGATTTCCTATACTTGAATGCACAACTGAATAATTTGAAGCATGAAGGTTACCTATCTACATTGTGCCTATGATACTCATTATATAATATAATTATACTTTTCAACAGTGTTTAATTGGATCTGTTCTCCTCATGTCTTAAGGAGTCATTTAAGTTAGCTGATGTTTGTATTGAACATAGAATACTTTTTTCCCTCTTACGCTAATTTTCAGAGTTTTCTTACACTCAATACCACCAATGTTTTAATGTGTACTATGGTGGTTGATGCCGCCGAAGAGCAGTGGGAGTTTGAGTGCAGGATTTATTTTTGTGTGTTTAAGAAACTTTGCCTGTGTTCTATTAAAAAATACAACTTACCTATTTAGGATTTCCCAAACCCATGGTAATCTGACACCATTAGTCCAAGTTATGCTCACTAGCCCTTAATGATCTACACATATTGAATAATTTAGGTGTCTTAGCCTGTCCATGTACCTTTGCAATCATGCGCCTTGTCTGGATTTCTTACATCAATTAGCTGCTGCTACAAACCTCTTTGTAGTAGATCAAAGACTATCCCAAGATCTGTTATCTGCTTACCAGTGATTTAACCAGAATATATAATCTGCTTTATTCAGTGAATAATTGGTTTATGATCCCCATTATAAAATTGAATATCACCTTTCCAGGTGGCTAATCGGACTCAGAAGACACATTTTCCAGATGATTGAATGTTTACCAAAATTGACTAACTGCCTGCAAAGTCCTCCATTACAGTCATATAATCAGGGATTTAATATATAGAGCAGTGGTTCCCAAACATTTTAGGTTCAAGGCGCCCTTGATATTTCAGTATTTTTCCAAGGCGCCCCAAGTCAAAATTTCTAGGTTGTATATCTGTACAGCACGGCAGCATTAGTATAATATACAGTCTTGGTGTTTGAAGGGGTGCTTGTAAATAGTTACTGTGTTTTAATACAGGGGTGTGTTTTTATGTAATGTTTGTGTTTGAATGTAATTTTCACTTTTAAAAGCGGATATACATTAGTGGGAAGTACTTGTGTATGAGTGAAGGGGTAATATGATGCATTACGTTGGCTTTATACATATACAGAAATTAATATATCTGCCAATATAGCGATATCCTGATTTTTTTATTAGTTTGGAGGGGGCTCATTCAGATTTTTTTTTTTCTGTTGGAATTCTGTCTAATTCTTCTTTTTTGCCTACCATAAGGCACGCAGGGTAAAAGAAGAGGGGGAGCACTAGACAGGGAACTGGAAACCTACATATTTTTAACATCCCTCATCTAACATACTATATGCAGGGTAAGAGAACTGATCTACTGCCTCAGAGTTAAGGCCTCATAACGCGTTGCTTTTATTGAAATAAAATATATATTTTTTATTGTTGTATTTTTCTATTTTGGCCTCAATGCTGTTATGGAAATGTTTCATATGACTATTTAGGCTAAACGTACCATTACACCAAATGTATATTTTTTTTACACCCAGAAATGTTATGCACTCGATATAGTAATGGCACCGTAGGTTCTCTCCTGAAGCTGTAGATATTTTTTCTGGCAGTCTTAATTTTTGACCTTGGGAGGGTGAACGACTTAGTTGACGCCACTGGTATAAAGAATATCACATTAACAGAATATTGTGTATTGTAGGTTTCCATTGAAAGGGTGTCAGTAAGCTAACGGCAAACCAAAATCTCTTCTATGCCAAATGACCCAATTAATCACCTTAGAAAATACTTGAATTATTGCATATAATTTAGCATAATTCATATGGAGAATAATGTCTAGGAATAAAATAATAAATGGTCCTTTTTATTAATGATGAATCTTAATATTTAGAAAGCCTTTCATTTAAAGTACTAGCAGTCAAAGTGCTAGGATCCTACTACTGTTAGTATCACGGGGAACCTTTAATTATAACCAACTTACATTTCATTTACTGTATTAGGTTAGAAAAATGTGTGCCTTTGAACATCTTAAACACCATACATCGCAAAAATGAAATAAAGTGCATTAGCCCATGAAATTACATACTTCAGGGCAAGACTGATGCAATGCACCATGTCACAGAAATGTCATGTAATAATTGCAAAAAAAAAAAAGAGAGAAAAATGTATATAAGAAAGAGAGAGAGGGAGTTTTAGAGTTATAATAGTAAGTCACATAGTGTTTTCATCCTTTCTGAGAATCACTACTGATGGGGTAGAGGTGCAAGCGGATCATCTTGGCGCACATTCTGTTTCCCTGCCAGTCTTTGTGGGAGAGAGAGTTAAAGTGGCACTGTAACATTTTTATTAAAAAAACAAAAAATGTATATATTTCACTGAATTAAAATGCAATTAAAAGACTGGGTTGTTTTGCCTTTTTTTTTTTTTTTTAAAATCTGCTGTCCTCCATTTTGACTGATGGAAGAAAGGCATGTTATCTCGCAATGCACACTGGTCACCTAAAACAGTGCTCCTCAACCCTCTCCTCAAGGCACACCAACCAGTCCAGGATTTACTGATTTCCCAGGTGTGTCTAAGGTGTTAAGAAAAAGGAAAAAAATGATTTAGACACACCTGAGTAATCAGTAAATCCTGGACTGATAGGTGTGTCTTGAAGAGAGGGTTGAGGAGCACTGACCTTTAACATCTCATTGCAGATGTACAACAAGACACGTGGCAGATCCAAGCCTTTCAGAATATTCCATAAAACCCCAATTTGAAAATCTTGCGAATGTATGAGGATATTTTCCCTTTTTGCCAAAATGCAGAGAGCCCACAATTTACAGGTCAGTTTATAGTTTAATCTGAGAAGCCAAAAAATGGTCAATAATTTGGTATCAAAAATCATAATTTTGCTTTCATGGCATCAACATATCAAAATATATTTTTAACATTAGTACAACCAATACAATGGTTATACGTTTAATTGGAGTTAAGTGAAATCTTTCTGGAAGGCTTTGTTAAATTGCTGACCTGTGCTCAGAATATTTTAAAAGACATTCAGTATATGGAGGCATGCTCTTTATCTGCAGATATGAAAGGGTGGCCCTCCGTGCCCCTTAGTTAAGTGTTCTTGCATAGCAAGACCACTTAATGTTATCTCACATATATATTATTATTATTATTAAGTGTTCTTGCATAGCAAGACCACTTAATGTTATCTCACATATATATTATTATTAAGTGTTCTTGCATAGCAAGACCACTTAATGTTATCTC